ATAATTTCTTTGGACTAGTGTACTAACTATGCTATCTTTCATGTTCTGATACATGTGATAAAAATGACCTCTTCATCAGAAACCTATGGGTACTTTGATGCGCTACATCCCCCCCCCCCCCGATTTGATTCAAAATTGCTGACTTATGGCCATATTGTTTTTAGCTCCGCTGTCGACTTTGTCGAGCGGAGCTTATCATATGAGTGATTGTCCGTCGTCCGTGTCAATGTTTTACTTTTTCAACTTCTTCTTGAAAATTACAAGCCTGAATGCTTTGATACTTGGTGTATATGTACCTTGGGTAGACCTCTCTCAGATTTGTTCATTTTGTAATGATATCTTTAATTCTCTAATTTTGGTGAATATTTTTGTCATTTTTGGTAAAAAGTGATATTTTCGACTTCTTGTTAAAAACCGCAAGTCTAATTGCTTTTATATTACATATATGGGTACTACATGTGGACCTCACTCAGATTTGTTCATTTTGTAATGATATCTTTAATTCCCTAATTTTGGTGAATATTTTTGTCATTTTTGGTAAAAAGTGATATTTTTGACTTATTGTTAAAAACCGCAAGCCCAATTGCTTGTATATTACATATATAGGTACTACATGTGGACCTCACTCATATTTGTTCATTTTGTAATGATGTCTTTAATTCTCGAATTTTGGTGATTTTTTTTGTCATTTTTGGTAAAAAGTGATATTTTTGACTTCTTGTTGAAAACCGCAAGTTTGATTGCTTTTATAATACATATATAGGTACTACATGTGGACTTTTTTCAGATTTGTTAATTTTGTTGTGAAAATTATTTAATTTTGATGAATATTTTTGTCATTTTTGGTGAAAAGTGATATTTTTGACTTCTTGTTGAAAACCACAAGTCCAATTGCTTTTATATTACATATAAACGTACTACGTGTGGACTTCTTTCAGATTTGTCCCGTTGCTTTTTATATACATATTGTTCATTTTCTAATGATATCTTCAGTTCTTTAAGGTAGAGATGCAGTTTATTTGGCTTGCTTTTTAATTGAGTAATTAGACAATGAAGATGGTATTATATATCCAACATGTTATATATTTTCTGAAAGCTTATTATACAAACTTTGTAAAACTTGTCTTTATTTTAAATATCCAGAATGCGTTTTTGATTTTGGGTCAAAAATATGCTTTTTTGGACAAAAGTGGTTTAAAAAAAATTAGCTTAAAAACTTCAAGTCCATTTGTGGGTAAAATTACATGTACATCCCTGGA